ACATACATACATACATACATACATACATACATACATACATACATACACACATACATAAATGCAAGTATTTCTACATAGAGAAATACATTAATACATACATAAATAAATATATATATATATATAGGCATATTTGCGGGACTTACTTTGAGTTTCCCCCCATCCAGTGACATAACACTCGGTTCTACTGGGAACAATGTAGTCCTTTTCTGGCAGACATACAGGAAGCACTTTGTCATTTATTAGGGCGGGTCTGAAAACACACAAATACCAGGTTAAAGTACTGGAATTAAACTCTTCTGTCAATTTCAATTTCATTTCCAACAAAACTTCCTCTCTGTCAAACTGTACACACGTTTTTGAGCTGGTTTCTGTTTAATTTGATCAAACTATAACAATAGCATAATCAATTAAAAGGACAGATTAATAAACATCTGTAAACCTAGTGGTGCTTTCAGCTTTTAACAGAGATTTAGTTCATGTTATTTTCTCCTTTTCCCCACTTAAGTGTCCCCAGGTTGTGATTTTAAATGCCCTCTGACCGGTCCAGTTTGAGCAGAGCGATATCGGCCCGGTCGGGTCCCAGCACCAGTTTCTCCAGCTGTCGTATCTGTTTGGACGACTCTCTGGCTGCTTCCTGGTGGATCCCCAGCACCACCTGATAGGCCGAGGGCCTCTTCGACCTACAATCACACCGTTTATTTAGAGAACGTGTCGAATCGAGATGGGATCAGGGATAACTCAGAGCTTATGTGGTCTGACCTCTCCAGGCAGTGGGCGGCAGTGACGACCCACTGAGGGTGAATCAGAGTTCCTCCACAGAAATGGATTCCGGTACTAGTTAGAGAAAAGAACAAAAAAAACATCAGAAAACACATTTTATGAGCAATAATACCAAAAAAGTTTGGCCCTACCACTTCATAAAAGTTTAAAAATCTGCATAATTCAATCTATCTATGTCATTAACTATGTATTTTACACAATGTGGTTCTTATGATTGAATTAAAATCTTGTTTCAAACCATATTTACTTAAATTTCACTATTAATTCGATTTAAAGCAGTCATTTGTGTTTTATTTCACAGATTCCTTTTTACACTGTGTCTTACTCACTTGGTCCGGAGGCTGATTTGCCAGGGCCACGAGTGAGCTTTAGACACACAACCGCCAACAATACGACCGAAACAGCGCTTCGGTTTGACAACTGGTGTCCCACAATTCATTCCAGCTGCAAAACGAGTTCAGAGTTATTCCTTTTCAGGCGGAGTCCAGTGTGTTGTTTGTCCTGGGTTCTGAAACAGCAAACAGCTGTGCATCACAGACAACACAGACAGTCGCTTTTGCTTCTTTCTACATAAACAAACATTTGAGCAACAAGAGATTTAGCTAATTTCATGGCTGGAAGAAATTTCTAAGAAAATTAAAGCCTTGTTTTATACAATGCATAACCAATTTCCCATTGGAAAAAAAAAAGGTAACAAACAATATGGCTGCTTTCAATATGGCTGCTTTCAATATGGCTGCTTTCAAGATGGCGGCCATGTTCTGGATATCAATTCTGAAATAAAAGTTTGTCCTGTGGCTTTTGACTTACCCAGTAGGTTTATATAAACCAAAAGCACGTTTTCCACAGCGAATAACACAAACTACATGAGGATTAATACTCAGTTAAAAGCTTCCACAGCTCTGAGACATAAACATTCAAAACTAGGGGGAGGGATTGAAATATACTCGAGTTGAGAGTGTTTTTCTTTGAGGGTGAGCTGTTTCATAGGTGTGATGATTTTTGTGGTACACTCTCAGTAGATGAAGTTTATTCTACCGTGAGTTTGAGTTTGATCCATCTCAACAAAGACACAAAGACACAAATCCAGTGTGATAGCTGTGTAATTACGGCCTGGACGTGTCATAAACTGAAGCCCACACACCGCAGTCGGGGATCTGGCAGTAGTCCCACTTCTTGCTGCGGTCGGTGGTGTAGCACCAGGGCCCGTTGGCGTCGTTGTCCGGGTTTCTGCAGCTCTGGAGACGCAGGCGGGACCAGGATCAGTGAGGAAAAGCGCTAAAAAAAGGGCAGAAATAGCCACACACAGGCTTACGTTGCCCTCCAGGCCCTTGGTGGGGTGCGTCTCCGGGGTGAAGCTGTTGTGCTGGTGGGGGCTCTGGGCGCTCCACGCCTGGCAGGTGACCCCCAAAACCGTCATGGAGGTGGGCCCTCGGTAGGTGTCTCCATTTCCTTCCTTGCAGTCTGAAAACAGCAGCAGGGAGGTGAGTCAGAGAAGTGTGCAAACGTCTGAAACGTGCTTTATAGAAGACATATTATACCCTCCTAAATAAATTAGGAGTTATATATGTGAATGTAGGATGCATCAAACCATATTTTGGACAATTTTCCATACTTGTAAGTTGTTTCAAATTGTTGCAAAGTTAAAAATTGTACTCCAGAAGGTCCATGATTAATGTAAAATCCCTCACCTCTAACAGTGAAACACTCAGAGTAATGTGTTGGAGAGAGGAAACGTGCCTTAGATTGTTTGAATAAAAAATCTGGTTGATCAGTGAAACTCAAACCATTAAAGGAGACATATTATACCCTATTTCAACAAGTTAAGCTAGTTCCCTGGTGTCCTAATGTAATGTCTGTGACAAGCTTTGGTCAAAATCCCGTAAGGATGAAGCCCAATAGCAGTTCAGTCCCCCTGCCTAACCCTAACCCTAACCCTAACCCTAACCCAAAACAGCCCCGTTCAGAGCGCTCGCTTTGGAGTGCCTGTCTCTTTAAATGCAAATGAGACACAGGCAATCCACCCACTTCTTCAGGGAGGTGTGCCCACATCGGCACGCTAATGCTACCATGCTAATGCTACCATGCTAACGCTACCATGCTAACGCTACCATGCTAACGCTACCATGCTAACGCTGACGCTACCAGGACGTCTGCCACAGATAGGCGGAGTAAGCTGAGGGGGGGGGCAACATGCAGGTGAAAGGCTGGAATATTATAATGAGCTAGAGCTAATGACGTCAGAAACTACCCACTCCTGAAACCTCCTGATTTATCTCCTGGATTCAGACTGAGGCGGCCCACAAAAACATGACAGAGTCATTTTTTTTCACCCTTTGCCTGCTGATAGGCCCTCCACAGTCCCAAATGTACACAATCAAATTATTAAAAACTTGGTTTTGCACAATATGTCCCCTTTAAATGATCAAAAAAGGGAGGATCAATCCTTTGTGCTTTATGTGATTGGAACAGTTCGGAGTGTGTGAGTTTGTGTACATAATCAAATGATTAAAAACTTGGTTTTGCGTAATATGTCCCCTTTGGGGAACGCGGCCCACCTCTGTCCGTCGGGGTCTGGGTGGCCTGGAGCTCCGGGGGGGAGCTGGGCTGCCCGGGGGGGGGCTTGGCGGAGCACTTCTCCAGGTTGCAGTACTCCCAGCGGACTTTGGGATCCGTGGTGTAGCACCAGGGGGCGCGGTCCCCATCAGGGTTCCTGCACAGGTTCCTCCTCAGATCGCTGTCGGGAATGAAAGAAAATATCTCTGTGTTTTATTCCAGGAATCAAACCAGAGGGACAACAAATTACAAAGGATCAGTTCTAACTGCTCATTGATAACTCCATGAATAATGTGGCTCCTAAATGCTGATCTGTGTTTATAAATAGATGCTCCCAGAGTAAAACAGTGGCCAAAGATACTAGAACAACCAAATATAAGCAAAGTCAAATCAAAATATTCCTCAGATTTGGGGAGGACAGTCCAAAATGGACTCTAAAGGGGAGGAAAAGGACTCCGTTGGGTGTCCATGAAAAGTTCTGTTATAGCTTTGCTGCAAATGAGAGAAAGTATTTAAAACATTTTGTGGTTCGGGTGATAAATGTCAGCAGACTTCATGCTGACACACCTTCTCTGGGAGGAACCACAATAATCACACCACCAAATATCCCATTCTGATTATTGTATCCCATCTTAAAACAGTCCATAAGACAAAAAATTAAATATTTTCTCTTGTTAAAAAAAGGATTAAATGCTTTATTTCGACTCTGGGGAGGATGGTTCTCTCTTCCTGTTGGCCCTACACAATGATTTTACTCATTAAAGTGGATCTTTAACAGGCGCATCTCCAATTAACCCTTTAATATCATACGTTTTATATATGATACATAAACGTATCACATTATGGGTAAATCGTTCTGTTAAAAAACTGCTAAAAATAATTCAATTTTGGTTTTATGTAAAAAAGATAAGTAAAATATTAATCAAATATTTAAAAAAAATTGATTTACTTTTTCCTTTTTTTATTTACATGGTATTTATTATTTATCATTTGTCATTTCTATCAATTCATTCTTGTATCAGGCATTATAGATTTAAAGTTCATAAAATACATTTCTTATTTCATGAGCAGGTTAAGGACATCAACCCTGGCTGATTGATTGAATTATTATTATTACTGAATGCAGTTGATTGGCTGATGGGGCTCACGCTCCTTTTTTTTAATTTTCAGAATTTTCCGTCAATTCATTCTTGTGTCAGCCATTATAAGTTTAAATTTCATGGAATAAACTTCTTATTTTATGAGCAAGTTAAGGACATCAACCCTGGCTGATTGATTGAATTATTATTATTATTATTGAATGCAGCTGATTGGCTGATGGGGCTCACGCTCCTTTTTTTTTATTTTCAGAATTTTCCGTCAATTCATTCTTGTGTCAGCCATTATAAGTTTAAAGTTCATCAAATAAACTTCTTATTTTGTGAGCAGGTTAAGGACATCAACCCTGGCTGATTGATTGTATTATTATTATTATTGAATGCAGCTGATTGGCTGATAGGGCTCACGCTGTGGGGTATGCTTGTGGCGTCTTGTTGTGTTTGTGTGGCGTCATGGAGCTCCACTTCTGGCATTTCTT